AAAGTGATAAAGTAAAAAGAATCAATAAAATTAAAACTAACTCTGCTGCCCTGCCATCTGGTTGCCATTCTCCATGGTTGGGGGGGTGTCGACGGGGAGGGGGGTGCATTTCGGAACCTGGCCTTGGGGCGGCGGGAGAGTAAATCCGGCCCTGACTGCAGTCATATACAGCCAGTTTTGTACATGCTGTGATGGCTGCCTCTTGGACTCTACATCACTAACTACTGACCCCTGAACCTTTTGTTGCTTCTGAACCTTGCATTACTACTGAGCTCTGAACTCTGCATTATTTGCTTCTGTCCCCTACTCGTGTCCCCTGTACTCCATGCATTACCTAATCATGTCCCCTGTACTCCATGCATTACCTACTCGTGTCCCCTGTACTCCACCTCTTTATTACATGTGTTACATACTCCTGGGTCAGGAGTAGGGTTGCACAGATACCAAGTACGAGTACATGTACCGATACTTTTGAGCTCCAAGACTAGATTAGAGAAAAATTCAAAAATTAGGAGGCAGCTGTCATTTGTAAGGAGCACACGGAGCTCCTGGGATTTGTATATCTCTGTTTTAATGTACGATTTTGTTTTTATAAATAAACGAATGCACAGATACCAGTTTTGCGAGTACGAGTACTGGTACTTGCCGAGTACTTACAAGTACGAGTACTGATACATTTTTGTTGTCATGTGACAGTTTTTCTAAAACAACACAAACTAATGATTTCAGGACAGTGGTGGAGCGCCAGAGCCAGGTCCCTGCTGCAACCCTGGTAGTTCTCATGAAAATGCCAAGTATCTGCACTGGTACTCGAAAAGTATCTGTGCAACCCTTATCAGGAGTATGTAACATACAGAGTGTAGGGGTCCTGCACTCTGTTACATACTCCTGTTTCCTGCTCCATGCACTCTTGACCCCTGTTTTCTGCATTATATATTCCTGTTCCCTGATCACCACGTAATTTGACGTACGATTTGCTAAGGCACACTTATAGTACCCAGGGACTTTTGTCTTTTACATGTTCAGTGTCTGCTTCCTCTTCAAGAAGTCTGTGACCAATTGTTTCTGGGCATGCTAAAAATGTGGGCATGGGAGTGTGGCATTATAGGTGTGGTTACAAGTGGGCATGGTCAGTAGTGTGTTCCTGGATTTCATTTTGACAATCTGGTAACCTTAGCCCAGGTACCACATCCATAGATATATACCATAGTAAAAAAATGTTGAAGGTTTATGGTACCAAGACAAATATAATTCTAAAAAAATGTTGATTTAAATTCCATTAAAAAAAACCTTTTAAAATGTATGGCAATCGGTACATTTAATTGTACAACAGATTGTATAAAAAAGAAAAACCTCTGAAAGCTTTACCTCTGACCATCGCTGATCAGCTACATTTATGTATCGATAATCATGTAAGCCTTCATTTTGTATGCTCTCGTACATGAAGAGTTTTTGGTTATGGGGTGACAAAGCTATATCCCAGTCTCCCAGCTGTGCTTTTGCGTTTGTCACACTGTTGAACGTGCTCCTGCTTGAGACTGCTAGCAGCCATGTCACCACACATTGTGCAGTATGGTCCAGTGTTGTCACTATCAAAAACTCGGTCCAGAGCAATATTGTGCAACCAACGCTGGAGTGAGTGCATGTAGACATAAAGTGGCTGAAAATGCTGCAGGAAAATAGCTGGACTGAGACACTAGAAATGGTGAAAACAGCATTTTTATGTTGGAAAAAAAAAAACATGGCAGTTGTTTGATGCATGGTGCTTCAGCAAAGCAAGTGTCTTCTAGTTAGGGTATTTATCAACTGAGGGCCCTAGGGTAACACTAGGGTAGCAGGATCCATGGGTTTATTGCATGCTATGGCACAGTGCATGGTACTACATACTAGGTGCATTGCGTTGACATTCATTCATGTTATTGTGTTGCGTAGCACTGCACAGGTGCATTGAGGTGCAATTCGGAATGAATGGCTATGCACAGCGCATGTGGTACTCTGCAATAGTGTGCACCAAATGCAGCACCACATCTAAGGACTGGTAAGCTGTAACTTTTGTTCTTGGGTTTCCATGTGCTTTTAAATACGCATTTTGTTAATTTAATTTGACCCATGAGCTGACATATATTTTACCTGTTTCTTTTAAGATTGGTCAGTCGGAGGTTTACTTGATCAGCCCTGACACAAAGAGGATTGTTATTGAAAAGAGCTTTAAGGAAATATCCTTTTGTTCTCAGGTAAGTCTACATTTTTTTCAATATTAGTAAAACCTTTAGTATCTGTGCTGACTCGATAATTCCAAAGCATGTTTGCTGTCTCCTCAAGTTCTGCGTTACCATCTTCACATTGTGCCTTTATACAGTAATGAAAAGATGTTATTACACATATACATCTGTAACCACAATGATTCACCACTGTGTACAGTGCAATATACAGTGGAAGAACCAAGAATCAAATAAGAATCTGGTTTTTAAAATGGACTTTTCAGTAATATTCAAATCTGCATGAATAAGTTATTTCCCGTCCTGTCACAATTTACAGAAAACGTATCATTTTTCAAAAAGAACTGTCCATGAGCTCCAGTCTGGTGAGTTTGTCTAGGCTGAGATGATGTCATACATTGTGTATATACAAAATATGAGAATCCTTGTAGGATATTGGGCTGTATAGCCTTGTGAATGGGGTGAAAATAGACATCGGTGTCTGAAATGTTTATTGTCAAAATCTTGAAAGACAACCTAGATTATCTATACTAGATCAGGCGTGGCTGTAATATAAAGGTCTTTGGAGGCGCCTGCTGTTTTTATGTGAGGGCCGGAATAATGTAGAAGCTCACTGGACAGGGAGGCAATAGTTGGTGAACCAAATTGTAAATCAAACCTCTGACATAGTTTCATTACATCCGTTATATATTGATCTTTTATTTTTCAATATTCTGTCATTGGATGGCAACGCTGTTCATTCTGCAGTGGAATTGGTGCTGGATAGACTTTAAGTAATGTACAAACAAATTAGAACCCAACTGTAGATGGCTTAAAAAAAAAAATCCCCCACCCCTGCGAACACATGTATGCCAACGTAAACATGCAATGGGTGTGCCTATGTATGAAAACAACGATTGCACTACTCAAGTTGTATATTGACACATGTGCCAGAGTGAGAGCAATATTTCTAGTTCGATATTCACGGTTAACGCTAAACTGATGACCTGTACAGGCTTTTAAAGTGTCGCCTATGGACAATTTGGGGTACCGTACTTTGTCGCCATTTCAAAGGCACATACAATTTTTAAGCTTGGCATGTTGGGTATCTATTTACTCGGCACAACGTCATCTTTTACATTCCTACAAAAAATTGTCTATTATATTGTTTTTGTACATCTAAAATAACTTGGATGTAATTTTTACTTAATTTTTGGGTTTGATAGAGTTGTACTAATATCATGTGCCCTGAAATGTGCCACCTGCCACCATTTTATTCTAGAGAGTCTCTGCTTTCAGGAAATAATTCTCAGGGGGTTTCAGGCCTAAAATGTGGATTATAACATCTGTGTAAAAATCGCTCTTGCAGCAAAAGGGTTAAAGGATAAGTGCAAGGGACTTTCTGACAGCCCTCCCATCATACAGTAACCTAGGATTACAGCAATTCGTGAAAGGTGCACTTATTCATCTCTCACACTCACACTCACACACACACACACACACACACTCTCACTCACACACTATCTCTCTCTCTCGCACACACTCTCTCTCGCACACACTCTCTCTCGCACACACTCTCACTCTCACACTCTCTCTCTCACACTCTCTCTCTCTCGCACACACTCTCTCTCTCACACACACATACACACACACTCTCTCTCTCTCTCTCTCTCACACACACACACACACACACACACACACTCACTCACACTCACACACATTCTCACACACACTCATTCTCTCATTCACTCACTCACTCTCACACTCACTCACTCACTCTCTCTCACTCACACTCTCTCTCACTCACACTCTCTCTTCACACACACACACACACACACACACACTCTCACTCACACACTCTCTCTCTCACTCACACACTCTCTCTCTCACTCACACACTCTCTCTCACTCACACACTCTCTCACTCACTCTCTCTCTCTCTCTCTCTCTCTCACTCACACTCTCTCTCTCTCTCTCACTCACACTCTCTCTCACTCACTCACTCACACTCTCTCTCTCTCACTCACTCACACTCTCTCTCTCACTCACACACTCTCTCTCTCTCT